TGCAGGCGCATGTTTTGTGACTGGATGTTAAACCAAGTAGAGAATGATGATCAGTTTACGCAATAAGTAATGTGGACAGATGAGGCAACATTTACTCGAAGGGGAATTTTAAACCAAAGGAACAACCATATTTGGTCCTACGAGGCGGTAAGGAAACATAGTTTTCAGCATGAATTCCAATGAACGTATGGTTGGGTGTATTGGACAACATTATAGTTGGTCTCAACTTAATTAGGGAGTGGTTAAACATTAATTATCCCAGGAGATGGATTGGTCGTGGATGACCTGCAGCGTGGCCCGCACATTCACCGGACTTGACACCGATGGGTTTTTTCGTTTGGGGTGCTGTTAAATAAAAAGTCTACGAGGTGCCAGTTGATACCCTAGAAGATCTAAGACAGCGAATAGTCCAAGCGTGTCGAGAATTAACTCCAATTCAGTGTCGATCGGCCACTACCTCCATAATTAGAAGATGTCGTGCTTGTCTACAGTCCGGAGGCGCCCATTTTGAACAAAATATTTTTTAAATCATTTCATTTTTGATTCACTTTTCGCTTTGTCTAGGTATAATATTAATTGGTAATTTTTTGGTTGTTTCAATTTACAAATAAATTTTCATGTATTGTTTGCCATCTTATTTTATTTAAAAGTACACAACACAAGTAAAAGAAGTGACTACAAACCGCCTGAAAAAAATTAGGAGTATTGCAAGGCTCGTTACGTTGTCGCATTGCGAAATAGTCACAGTAGATGTTAGGTACTTAAATATTTCTATTGTTTTCATCATTATTTTTTTTTCTACACACCCTATATCTCAAAAACGAAGCATCTAAATAATTTTAATACTATTGGTTAAATCCAAGGCAAGAGGAGACAAAAAGACTCATTTGACTCACACATACTCGAGACTAAGACCAAATTTAATAGGTACTATATTTTTTAGGTTTTATGAGGAACGTCTTCCTAAAGTTTATCGACAGAATCCAGAAGCACCCTTCCGAAAAATTAATTCTGCCATGAAACTATAAGAGTTAGGAAAAAAAGTGAATGTACACTTTTTGTCAATAACAAACTGTTCTATCTAAAAATAGCATCATTTTTTATTTTCAGTATGGGTGTATTAATTTATTTTTTATAATTTAATGAGTCTGAGTC